ATAAATTTTATAAAAATAATAATTAAGTATTCTATTAGAATTCAATGATTATCATAATTATATTTTAGATTTTTTATATTTAAAATAAGATGTTTATCTACAGTTAGTTACACGAATTCAAATATGGGGCTTTAATAAGTTGTACTTACGCACAATCTACTTGCAATTTTGAGTTTTAAGTAATATGCATTAATAAACAGTACTTTACGCATAAAAAGTGATTTTTAAGAGTTTTTGTCAAATGCTTTATAATATAGTATAGATATCGCCAAACCCTAAACTTCCAGATATAACAATGAAAACGACGATAACAATCCAAAATTCATCCAAATGCAATATGTTGTGTTCAATTAGAAACTACATAAATTAAATTAAACAGGAATAGAAAACGAATATGAACCTGTAAACTGCAATCTTTTCCAGTCGCTATGATTACGAATGAATACCTCAATTGTGCCCGCACGAGATCTCTCTGCAATGATGTGAATTAGGGTTTCCTGAATCTGTTCTTGAACAAAGAAGTTGGCTAAAGAAAAAAATAAATAGATTACCTCCTCTAATTATGGATTGACGCTAATGGATTGAAATTATGTCAAATATACGCATCTCTAAATTTTGTTGGAGTCGATTATCTCAATCGTAATCTGGAACCAATGAAATGTAATCTGGAACAGATGAAATCGGATAAGGATGAAATCGTTTAGGGAGGGAGTTGGGTTTCTGTTGGCGATGAAATATGATAGGGTTGAAATCGTTTAAGAATGAACGAGTTTAGGGATGACTTTGATAGGTTGTACCATTAGCAATAGATGTTGTCTTTAAGAGTTTTTAAGAGTTTTAGCCAAATGCTTTATAAGATAGTATAGATTTACGATCTATATTTGAAGGTCATAATATGGGATTCTATTTCTCAAATATTAATGTTATATTGAGTTTATATATATATATATATATGTATATATATAAGCGAAGAATCGTATGAGAACAAGAGTTAAGGTGAGAAACGTAATAAATCTGAACACTTGATCACCTTTAATATCAAATTCACCCATGAATCACACTTTAATTCAGAATTTGATCTGGTACATCTCGGTACTTTTCATCTTAGTGCATCTCATAAAAATAGTAGATAATAAATATATGTAATATTATGATTATTATAATATTAAAGACGTTCTTTGTTGTTTTCTAATGATAAAATATTTTTTTTATATCAATAAATATTTTAATAATATAATTAATATTAAAAATATCAAAAATTAAAAAAATAGTTAAAGTTAAATATAATTATTTTAAAAATGTTTACCTTTTTATTCCCTTTATTTTATATAAGTAATTTAATAAAATCAATGGAGATGCTCTTTTAGAGGGAAAATAATATTATTCTTATGAATAAAAAATCCTTGAAAATTAAATAATTAAAAGGAAATAAAGATTTTAATAATTATATCGTATATTATATTAATATTATGATTCATAAATAAAAAAGATATAGAATTAAATTTTTTATTTTGATTTTATATATCTAAAGAAATTTGAAAAATATATTTAAAGACGTTTTAAAGTCATTGAAACCACCATTAAAAGACTCCGTAGCTGATTACGTTTCCTCACACCACTCACAAGCTTTTTGCTTGTGAAATACGAGGTTTCTTTTGGCTAAAAAAAAGCATGTCCCACTTCCACCGTCTTGTGGTTTTTTTACAAAAAACACCCTGAAGTTTTATGAAAACTGTTAAAAACACCCTGAAGTTTTATGAAAACAGTTAAAAACACCCTGCATGAAAAATGTTGATACAAGTTCTAATGAAAATATTGCTTATTTACACTATATTATAAAGCATTTGATAAAAACTCTTAACAATAATTTTTTATGCATAAAATACTGTTTATTGATGCATATTACTTAAAATTCAAAATTACAAGTAGTTTTGCGTAAGTACAATTTACTAAAACTTCATTTTTGAATTCGTGTAACTAACTACGGATAAACATAATCAAATACAGGATAAACATCAATTTTAAAAATCTAAAATATAGTTAAAATAATCATTAAATTCTAACAGAATATTTAATTATTATCCTTATAAAAAATATATTATTAAAAAAATTACTTTGTTGTTAAATCTAAATTAAATTATAATAAAAAATTGAATTAAAAAAGTTAGACCCAAAAAATGAGAACTATTAAATAGTTAATTCGATACTAATTTTGATTTATTTTTTTTCAAATTTTTATGTTATCTTCAAATTTATATTTCATTCATAAATAAAAACATTATCGTTTTTCTTAAAACCACATAAAATCGTATTATATTGATAGAGACAAATAATTAAAATTAAACATTAAAATAAAAATTTATCTTGCTGCATTACGCAAGTATCCTTCTAGTATATAAAAAATATTTATCTTATATAGCAATCATTTTTTGGGTGTTCTCCGTATTTTGAGGAAAATATCTTGTTTTTCCAATTTTCTCCGTTTTGAAGATAGTTTTAAGGAATCTGTTGGAATATAAAATTGGTTCAAAATCTTCATTTTAAAGAATCCGTTGAAAATGTTATTAACTTTTAGCATTTTCTAATTTGCCATTGTCGTTTTGCAATAGTTGTTGTCTTCTAATCATCTCCGGCCATCTAACACAATGTAATTACTATCAGTTTTGGTAAAAGCGATTGATTTAAAATTTTCTATTAATACATCAATTAAATGATAAGTTTCTTTATGTAAATCAATATTTGAATTACCTCGAATATCAAATATAGATTTAACATCAACATTTAATAAACAAAGCCTTACATAAATACTAGGTCAAGGTCGGGTACTATTAAAACCCAATGATGGTCGCTATCTCCAAATCCGGAAGACATCATCGAAAAAAATAGATCATCCCCCTGTGTCTAACTAGCACTTAATTCACTGCAGTATCGCTAGTACCATTCCCAACAATGACCTGATGCACTTGCCAACAAATAAAAAAAATAGACTTAATGTCTAGTGAGTTCAAACATTTTTCATCATATTTATAAAACAGTACAACTAAAATACTGTTGCTTTAAAACATAATTTCTCAAATAAAATATCTTTATCATAAAAGCAACATCTTTCTGGAACTCATCATTTTCGTGATGAAAACTCATAAATCGAAATACCCGTTTATATGAAACTAAAACTTAAAACTCATACAACTAAGAATACAGCTTGTTCAGATACCGAAAACATGAACAAACTCAAGTATCCTTAAACAACCAAATATAAACAATAAACAACATCTGAAGCGTCAATTCATAATACTCTTCCTACCCAAAACATCACGAAAAAAGTGGATGAAATATCATACCCCAAACTCATCTTTCAAAAATGGGTTTTTAAACCCGACCTTCGTTGCGTGGTAAGTCATTCATGTTCACAAAGCTGTTTTGTTGAAACAGAGAATTGCGCGACTTTTCCCGCAACCTAGTAGCGGGATAAGTAGTGGGATTTTCTGTTTCATTCCCGGTGCCATTTTTCTTGACTAGAACTTGCCCATATCGCAAGCTCTTATGACCCAATGCATTCCACTCAAGGTATGACCTCGAAAATGTTCATTACAATACATCAATCTTAAATGACATGTCAGTAAAATACGAGTTTTACACACAACCATCTCCTAAAAATATCCCATCTAACCATCTCATTGCTTTAGATGACATCTTTCATTTAAATTTGAATTTATTTAGACCTACTAAGCATACATTGACTTAATGGTTAAAGAACCATAATCATAATTGACACTTCCCCACAAAGCCATCGATGCCACTTTAGCCTACCCCATTCA